TCTGTTACCCAGACAGGCACAGTCATGGCCCACTGCAACCTCCACCTCCTGGGCTCAAGTGATCCTCCTGCCTCAGCCTCCCGATTAGCTGCAACTACAGGCTTGTGCGCCAGGACACCCAGCTAACTCTTAATTTTTAATTTTGTGTAAAGACGGGGTCTTGCTATGTTGCCCAGGCTGGTCTGGAACTCCTGGGCTCAAGTGATCCTCCCACCTCAGCCTCTGGAATCGCTGAGACAACAAGTGCACACCACCACCATGCCCAGCTAATTTTGATGTATTTTGTAGAAATGGGGTCTCACTATGTTGTCCAGGCTGGCCTCAAACTCCTGGACTCAAGTAAGCCCCCTGCTTTGGCCTCCCAAAGTGCTGGGATTACAGGCATGAGTCACCATACATGTCCCCTGAGCTGTTTTTCTTTCCGCTCCCAGCTCCATTTCCAGGACACCACTGAGGCATCACCACCTTCGGGAAGTCCTCCTGGATTTCTAGTCCAAGGCCCCTCCGGCTGCCAGTGTCCCCCCGTCACTGCTGTGTTCACCCTGACCTCCTTGGCCTGTAGGCTCAGCTTTGCAGGGAGGATGACCGGGTCCGGGGCCAGTGCAGGCTCCCTCCCAGCCCACGGCCTTTATGTGCCCAGCCCTGGGGCAGCACACCAGGCTGGGCTCACCAAACATGTAGTGACCAAATACATGAATGGCAGTAGTTAAAAGGGATCTTCAGCCGGGTGCGGTGGCTCACACCTGTGATCCCAGCACTCTGGGACACCAAGGAGGGCAGATCACCTGAGGTCAGGAGTTCGAGACCAGCCTGGACAACACGGTGAAACCCCGTCTCTACTAAAAATACAAAAACTAGCTGGGCGTGGTGACAGGCGCCTGTAATCCCACCTACTTGGGAGGCTGAGGCAGGAGAATTGCTTGAACCTGGGAGGCAGAAGTTGCAGTGAGCCAAGATTATGCCACCGTACTCCAGCCTGGGTGACAGAGAAAGACTCGGTCTCAAAAAAAAGGGGGGGTGGGGGAAGATCTGCAAGCCCTTTGTTCTCTTCCTTCTCTTTTGATTTTTCTTTCTTCTTCTTTTGAATTTTTCTTGTCTTCCCACGACGACCGTGAATCACTTTGGTATCAAGAAAGTCTAAAACTTGAAAACAGGAAGGGAAGCAGAGCCGATTTAGCAGTCACGGCTGTCAGATGGAGGATTCGGGCGTCGAAGCCAACACAGTTTATTCTTTTCTCTTCAGTGCCCAAAGGAATTCAGAGCTTCTCAAAGCCAACTGGGCTCCCCAGCTGCCTGGTCTCAAACCCACGCCACGTGGCGTCAAGGCGTTTCTGCCACGCCGGCCAGCACGTGGACACCCTCCCAGGCCCCCAGGCCCGTCCAGCTCATGGTGACACTGACTGTCCATTTCCCACGTACCAGGCACAGAATCTGCCACACACACACAGCAGGAACTGCCATCCCATTTCCCAGACGGGCAAATCAAGGCACCTGGAACTTCCCAGAATGCAGCAGCTCATGCTTTCCACCTTCACGGATTTGACCAGAGCTGTGGGCCCTGGGGGGGGTTACTTTTTTTTTCCTTCATTTATTTATTTATTTATGAGACAGAGTCTCGCTCTGTCGCTCAGGCTGGAGTGCGGCGGTGCGATCTCAGCTCACTGCAACCTCCACCTCCTGGGTTCAAGCGATTCTCCCGCTTCAGCCTCCCGAGTAGTTAGGACACCAGGCGTGCATCACCACACCCGGCTAATTTTTGTATTTTTCGTAGAGACGGGGTTTCACCATGTTGGCCAGGCTGGTCTTGAACTCCTGGCCTTGGGTGATCCACCTGCCTCAGCCTCCCAAAGTGCTGGGATTACAGGCGTGAGCCACTGAGCCTAGTTTATTTTTTTTTCTTTTAAAACAGTGATAAAATACACATACCAAAATAGTACACTTAACCACTTTGTATTTTATTTTATCATTTTGAGACAAGGTGTTGCTTTCCCGCCCAGGCTGGAGTGCAGGGGCGCAATCATGGCTCACTGAAATCTCAGCTTCCCAAGGCTCAAGTGAGCCAAGGCTGAGCTCAAGTGACCTCTAGTGATCCTCCCACCTCAACCTCCCCAGTACCTGGGACTACAGCCTGGTGCTACAATGCCGGCTAATACTTGTATTTTGTGTAGAGGTGAGGTCTTGCTATGTTGCCTAGGCTGGTGTCAAACTCCTGAGCTCAAGCAATCTGCCCACCTCAGCCTCCCAAAGTGCTGGGATGACAGCCACTGTGCCTGGTCTTTTTTTTTGAGACTCAGTCTCGATCTTATCTCCAAGGCTGCAGTGCAATGGTTCAATCTCAGCTCACTGCAACCTCCACCTCCTGGGTTCAGGCGATTCTCCTGCCTCAGCCTCCCGAATAGCCGGGATTACAGGCGTGCACCACCATGTCTGGCTAATGTTTGTGTTTTTAGTAGAGACAGGGTTTCACCACGTTGGCCTGGATGGTCTCGATCTCCTGACCTCAGATGAACCGCCTGTCGTGGCCTCCCAAAGTGCTGGGATCACAGGCGTGAGCCACCGAGCCCAACCTGACCCAACCTACTTTCTGTCTCTGTGAATCTGACGACTCCGGGGACCTCCTAGGAGTGGAGTCACACAGGATTTGTCCTTCTGTGCCTGGTTTTTCTCCCTGAGCCTGAGGTCCTCAAGATGCTCCCACACTGTAGCCTGTGTCCGGATTCTCTTCCTTTTCAGGGCTGAGTAGTATTCCACTGTGTGGACAGACCACAGTGTGTTGATCAATTCTCCTGTCCAGCACCCTTTGGCTTGTTTGCACCTTTTGGGTTATTGTGAATCACACTGCTGTGAACAGGGTGTGCAAATATTTCTTCACATCCCTGCTTTCCATTTTATTGGAAACATACCCAGGGGTGGGAATGCTAAGCCCTATGGCAAAATTTTTTTTTTTTTTGACAAGGAGTCTCGCTCTGTCACCAGGCTGGAGTGCAGTGGTGCAATCTCAGCTCACTGCAACCTCCACCTCCCGGGTTCAAGTGATTCTCCTGCCTCAGCCTCCTGAGTGGCTAGGATTACAGGCGTGTGCCACCACACCCAGCTAATTTTTGTATTTTTAGTAGAGACGGGTTTCTCTGTGTTGGCCAGAATGGTCTTGATCTCTTCACCTCGTGATCCATCCGCCTCGGCCTCTCAAAGTGCTGGGATTACAGGCCTGAGCCATCGGGCCTGGGTGTAATTTTATTTTTTAATTTATTTTTTGTTGTTGGGTCTGTTTGGTTTTGGAGACAGAGTCTCAAGTGCAGTGGTGCAATCTCGGCTCACTGCAACCTCAGCCTCCTGGGTTCAAGCGATTCTCCTACCTCAGCCTCCTGAGTACCTAGGACTACAGGCGCATACCACCACACCCAGACAATTTTTGTATTTTCAGTAGAGACAGGGTATCACCATGTTGGCCAGGCTGGTCTCGAACTCCTGGCTTCAGGCAATCCACCTGCCTCCCACAGTGCTGGGATTGCAGGCTTTTTTTTTTTTTTTAAATGGGAGCCATCCTAATGGGTATGAGGGGCACCAGTACTATTTGATATTTTTCCTGATATCAGCCAGCTCTTTTTAAAATGCTTAATTTTGCCAGGTGGCTGGCGTGGTGGCTCACCCCTGTAATCCCAGTACTTTGGGAAGCCAAGGCAGGAGAATGGCTTGAGCCCAGAAGTTCCCGCTCAGCCTGGGCAACAAAGAGAAACCCTGTCTCTACAAAATTACAAAAATACAAAAATTAGCCAGGCGTGGTGGCACATACATACATTCCCAGTGACTTGGGAGGCTGAGGTGGGAGGATCACTTAAGCCTGGGAGGTCTAGGCTGCAGTGAGCCATGATTCCGCTGCTGTACTCCAGCCTGGGTGACAGAATGAGGCTGTCTCAAAAAAAAAAAAAAAAAGGCTAGGCACAGTAGCTCTCGCCTGTAATCCCAGCACTTTGGGAGGCTGAGGCAAGCGGGTCACCTGAGGTGGTCAGGAGTTCAAGACCAGCCTGGCCAATATGATGAAACCCGTCTCTACTAAAAATAAAAAAATTATCCAGGTGTGGTGGTATGCACCTGAAATCCCAGCTACTCGGGAGGCTGAGACAGGAGACTCACTTGAACCTGGGAGGCGGAGGTTGCAGTAAGCCGAGTCACACCACTGCACTCCAGCCTGGGCAACAAGAGTAAAATTCTGTCTCAAAACACAACAAACAAAAAAAATCTTAATTTCTCTTAAAGGAAAATTTACATCACTGGCTTAAAAGGGAAACAAGGTTTATTATACATGCAATGAAAACCACACTTGTTAGATTTGAACTGGATACTCTCTTTTTTGGTTCCAAAAAAGAGATCAGCAATTACAGGAGGAGTTAAAGACCCAAGAGCAACCCAAGAGAGGCTTTCTCCTTGACTGAAGATGAAAGTGAACTTTGGGAGGCTGAGGTGGGAGGATTGCTTGAGCCCAGGAGTTCCAGACCATCGTGGGCAACGTTCAGTGACAGTGCTCTCTACAAAAAGTATACAGATTAGCCAGCTGTGATGACACATGTCTGCAGTCCTACCTACTGGGGAGGCTGAGGTGGGAGGATGACTTGAGCCCTGCAGGTCGAGGCTGTAGTGAGCTATGATTGTGGCACTGCCCTTCAGCCCGGGCAAGAGTGAGACCTTGTCAGCCGGGCGTAGTGGCTCATGCCTGTAATCCAAACACTTTGGGAGGCCAAGGCAGGTGGATCACCTGAGGTCGGGAGTTCAAGACCAGCCTGACCAACATGGTGAAACCCGCCTTAAAAAATAAATAAATAAATAAAGAGTGACACCTTGTCTTGATTAAAAAAAAAAAAAAAAAAACAGAGAGACAGAGAAAGAGACTTGAAAGGGACTGTATTCGCCAGGGTTCCCTAGAAGGAAGAACTAATGGAATATATATAGAAGCAGCGTTTATTAAGCATTAACTAACTCTCTATTGCAAGGTCCTACAATAGGTCGTCTGCAGGCTGAGGAGCAAGCAGAGCCAGTCCGAGTTCCAAAACAGAAGAACCTGGAGTCCAGTGTTGGAAGGCAGGAAGCACCCCGCACGGGGGAAAGACACAGGCTGGAGTGCAGCCGCAGGATCTCCGCTCACTGCAACCTCCACCTCCTGGGTTCAGGCAATTCTCATGCCTCAGCTCCCAACCAGCTGGGGCTACAGGTGCATGCCACCATGCCTAGTTATTATTTTTGTATTTTTTTTAATTTTTTTTTTTTTTTAAAGACAGGGTTTCACCACGTTGGTCAGGCTGGTCTTGAACTCCTGACCTCAGGTGATCCGCCCACCTTGGCCTCCAAAGTGCTTGGATTACAGGTGTGAGCCACCACGCCTGGCCCTTATTTTTGTATTTTTAGTAGAGACGGGGTTTCACCATGTTGGTCAGGCTGCCCTAGAACTCCTGACCTCGTGATCCACTCACTTTGGCCTCCCAAAGTGCTGAGATTACAGGCATGAGCCACCGTGCCTGGCCAGTCTTGCTTTTCGCATTTTTCTGTGTGCCTATGTTGTAGCCGCACTGGCAGCTGATTAGATGGTGCCCACCCAGATGAAGGGTGGGTCTCCCTTTCCCACCCACGGACTCAAATGTTAATCTCCTTCGGCAACACCCTCCCAGACACACCCAGGATCGATACTTTGTATCCTTCAATCCAATCAAGTTGACACTCAGTATTAACCATCACAGGGAATCTCAAGCAGTTTCTTCCTAGGCAGAGAAAGCCAAGTCTGAAAAATAACACTCAAGTCCTGGTGTGGTGGCTCACGCCTGAAATCCCAACACTTTGGGAGGCTGAAGTGGGTGGATCACGAGGTCAGGAATTCAAGACCAGACTGGCCAATAGGATGAAACCCCATCTCTACTAAAAATACAAAAATTAGCTGGGTGTGGTGGCGCACGCCTGTAGTCCCAGCTACTCAGGAGGCTGAGGCAGAAGATGCGCATGAACCCAGGGACGGAGGTTGCAGACAGCCAAGATGGTGCCATTGCACTCCAGCAGGCAACAAGAGAAAAAGAACACTCATGGCAACAGGAATAATGGCAGCGGACAGTCACTAGCCCTGTATTAGCTAGATGCTGCTGTGTAACAAGTTATTACAAACGGAGCAACTTGAAACAACATACATGGACTCCAAATCTCAGGGACTCTTCTCAGGGTCTCAGGGGGCTGCGTTGCTTTTCTGGGGCTGGAGGTGTGTCTTCCAAACTCAAGCTGTTGACGTCCCGGTTTTCCTGCTGGCTGTCAGCCACTGTCAGCTCCTGTCATAGCCAACAGTCCCCTTCTCAGGCAGCTCACATCATGAGTGTTTCCAACTCTGTCTTGCTTTTTTTTTTTTTT